AGGCAGGTGTGACAGGACCTGGCCAGTCCCCGCTCCTCCCCAGATGCTTGGCCAACCCTGGCATCCTGACGTGGCCTGTTCTCCCGGCCCCACCCTGGTCAGGACAGAGTCTCAGGACAGCGCCTCCTGTCCCTGTCCCGCCTCGGTCTCTCTTCCCCCGGGTCAGGCCCAGGGGCAGACACCGGGAATCTTTGCCTTGTGAAGTCAGGGCGGCCCCGAGTCCTCGGCTGGAGCCTTCGGCAGGTGTTCCTGTGAGAGCTGCTGCCATGAGAGGGTCCTGGGCAGGGTCCTCAGGAGCCACATGGGCGTTGGGCCGACTGCCACCACCTGGCCTGGGGCAGACCCTTTCCCTCTGCCCTGACCCCCTCAGAGTACAGCAGCGGGGGGTGGCTGAGCCCGGGATGTGGGGGTGCCCCTGGGCTAGTGGTGCCAGGCCCTGGAACATGTGGCCAGTTACTGATGTGGGGCTTGAAGCCACCCACCATGGAGCATCACCTGAAGCCACAGTCATCTACCTCATCCCAGGGCAGAGAGACAGCAGCTGCAGGAAGCACAGGTGACAGAAACTCCGGGACATCACATACACACCCTAGAACCTTCTACCCATGGATAGTCCTGGAATAGAGGGCCCTGCCTGGATACGTGTGGCTGGGGTGGTCACCTGGTTATGCAGGAAGCCCTTGTATTGGTCCAGCAGGACCCAGGAATCACCATCCAGGACTTCTACCTGGTGACACAGGTAAGTTTTGTGCTGCCCAAGGACGGAAGGGTCATTTGTAAAGTTGGAAGTGAAAGTGTTGGGATCCATCAGGTATCTGTGGACAATGGTGAGTAAAACTCATAAACAGAAGACTCCTCCTGGGACTACCGGTCCTCCCTCCCCTGCACCCCTGCACCCCTCGTCCCTCCCCTGCACTCCTTATCCCTTCTGGGTACCCCACACCCCTCGACTTACCCCACAATCCTCCCCTGTACCCCTCATCCCTCCCCTGTACCCCATATCCCTCTCTTGCACTCCACATCATTGTACCCCTTGTCCTCCTGCACCCCACATCCCTGTACCCAATGTCCCTCCCCCTGCAACCCACATCTCTCCCCTGATCCCTCATCCCTCCCCTGTACCCCTCATCCCTCCCCTGTACCCCATATCCCTCCCCCCATATCCCACATCCCTGCACCTGAAATCTCTGCCCCCATAGCCCGTATTTCTCCCTCCTGCCCCCCTTTATCCTCCCCCCTCCACCGCAGCCTATTTGTCCCTCACTCCACACTCCCTTCCTCTCCAGCCCACATCCCTCCCCTGCACCCCACATCCTGGGGCACCTGTCCGAGGAGGGGCTTCCACTCACTTGCTGCAGTCACCGGGCCTCCCTCTCTGACCCCTCTGGGGGCTGCCTTGGCCTTGTCAGGGTCTCCCCAGGGTCAGGGCAGTGCGCTCAGATGCTCTGGGTAGGGCTTCGTCCCTCTCCCTGGGCTAGGGCTGGGTCTGGTCCCCTGGCCTCCCCGTCCACCCTGTGCTGGCTCTGCCAGCCCCACAGCCCCTGCTCCAGGTGGAGCAGCTGGGGCTTTTCCTCCCGTCTCAGGATGACTCGGGCCACACCAGCATCACAGCCAAGAGGCTCCTGAGTGGGTCCATCAGGGAGAAGAGAGAAGAGAATGCCAGGAAATCTCTGTTCTGAACCTTTAGCTTTTCACCGTCGCACTGATGAAAAATGACAAGTGCTCTGTGGCCCTAAACACGCATTACTTTCTACAGTTAAAACTTGAAGTTCTGCAAATCTTTCTTTCTGTACAAGCAAGTACAGATTAGCCCCCTTTACAGAGGGCAGTGGCAATTGTGGGATGACACTTGTGCGTCTCGAAGAGACATCCTGCTAGTCTCAGGTCACGTGATTCCCCTTAGTCTGCGCCAGGCACGAAGCATGCCCAGGTTAACCTGCGCCCGAGCTGGGGCAGCCGGAGACCGTCCTGCTTTGCCTTTTCTGATATTTGTCCACAGAGATCGTTGGGCAGAAGCTAATGAGCCAGAGGGCAGCGACCTGGACAGAGTCTGTAACGTGTGGGAAGCAAGAGGTCTCGGGGTCCAGGCAGAGCTGAAACTAAGGTCTTGGAAAGAACACAAGTCCTGTTGCTCCAGAGACCCTGGGAGGAGAAACCAAGGCACGTCTTCCCAGGCTCTGCCCCTGGGGAAAAGCTTTCTAGAGTCTTCTCCCCTCCCATGACTCCATTCAAGGGAGGGGTCAGAATGGTTGAGCCTGACTCCCCACCCACCCTCGTCCTGGCGGGACCCGGACGACAGTTCTGACTGTCCTGCCACACCTGTGGTCAGCGGCGGATGGAGGATCCCGAGGGAAATGCAAGCTCTGCCAGGGCCAGAGGAAGCCGTGGATACCGGATCCTGGTCACAATCAACTCTCGCCAGCTACTCCTTCCTTGTTCTCTCGGATCCGTACTTTCTTCCTGCCTCGGTCTTTCCAGCTTCAACCGTGTGCTGTGGCCACTGAGTACTCATTTCCTTCCCCTCCCCGGAGCCCGCGCACCTTCCTGCCTCTGAATGGAGGCTGACCAGGCCAGCTGACAGCTGTCACCCTGGGCTGTCCCTTAATTACCACCCGCGGTGGGGGCCTGATTCTGTAGAGCAATCAGGGTCCCTGTGAGGTCTCCTCCCTGGCTGCTGGACTGTGCCCTCAGCCAGAGTGTGGGGCAGCTCCCGAGCTGAGGACAGTGCCCGTGTCCCCGCACATGTCCCTCTGCACATGCTCTTCCCACGTCTGTTTGAACGTGTCGGCCCACACGGCTCCCTCGCAGCGGGTGCGAGGATCGCTGTCTGCTCGCATCCTTGCAGCCAAGGAGAAAGGGACATCAGCTCATCCTCGGAGGGTCCCTGTTTTCCTCCGGGATGGCTTTGAGAACTGTCACCTGGCTGAAATGGCACAAAGCTGCGTGTCCACGTGCATTGATGAGGGAACCGCAGGAAGCCGCTCCTTTAGGGGTCCCCACGGTCAGTCCTCAGCAACTTCAGGGGTTCAGTCCAATATCTGCTCCTCCTGCTTGCCTGTCCCCGGCCTTTTCACGTTGTCGTTTTGCAGTTTCCTTCATCCCTGAGAATTTTCTCATATTAGTTCTTCAACAATGGCCTCACCTTCCCTTTGAAATAATGTCTCTCTCCATAAGTCCTTTACTGTGCATGTCGCACCTCTGCCTGGTGTGGGTCTTACTCGCACTTGTGTCCTTCGGGACTGGGTGTCAGTTCTGGAGTCCTTGTGCTGGTTTAATGCTTTAGGAGACGTCTTGTCGTGGTCCACTCACGTCTGCACAGTAAGAGTGGATGTGACGGCCCGGGGAGCACTGAGGACAGTGCCCAGCACAGAGGGAGGGTCCGGCGGCAGCAGCCACACCCCGGCTATTGTCCCGCTGGTCTTGAGGGTGCAGGGGGAATCTGGGCATGTGGTTCCCGGGCCCTCACGTTCCACCCCCGATGGCTTTTCCAATCGACAAACACACCCTGTGCCCCTCCTGTTGCACAGCCCTGTGCTTCGGGAGAGCCGAGAGGGATCCAGAACCCGCCCAGCCCGATGTGTCTGCTGCAGGAGCCAGACCTGAGCCTCAGGCTCTACATGCAGATGGGAGAATCCGTGGAGCTGGGCCCTCCGTGCCCCAGCGTCCGAGTCCTACCCAGCGGGAACGATCCTGTCGGGAAAGGCCAGGACACTTGTCTCCAGGTGTAAGGTGGAGTGAATTGGAACGAGGGGCAGGAACGCACACAGAGATGGGCGGGTCTCCTTCAGACACATCATGGTGGGAGGAAGCGGTGCCCACGTGCTCCTGCAGAGGAGGTGGGGCCTGGCCGTGCTGGAGGGACCCAGCTCTGTGCCCTCCTGCTCTGGCCTGGTCTGTCCAGGGCGCCCTCTAGGCCAAGGGAAGCAGGGGCCAGACAGGGACACAAGGGTCATCCCAACAGTGTCCACCACTATCCTGTACGGCCCATAAGCAGCAGGGCTGGGCCTGCCCCAGGGAGGGAAACAAGGTCCACGGCCAGGAGCCCAGGGGCTGGGAGTGTGGTCAGGGCCCGACGGAGTCCAGGACAGGATGCCACAGCCCCAGGCGCTGGGCTGTCGTCTCCCTTCCTCCTCAGGGTGGCAGACGCAGACCGGGCCCTCGGCCCCAGTCCCTGTCCTCAGCACTCCTCATGCTGCCTCCTCATCCCCAGCTCCAGGCCCTGTAGGGCTTTGCAGGGGACCCTCCCAGCTGCCAGTCAGGCTGGCCCTGCTGTGCGGCCGGACCTGGTGGGAGCAAATCTCCACCGATGGGGCAGATGCTGGGCTCGCCTGGCCCAGTGGGGACCTCAGAGTCCCCCTGTCGGGATGAAGTGTCCCCAGCCCACCCTCACAGGCTGCCTTTCCTCCCGTCCTGCTTCCCCCCACCCTCTGCACATCCTGCTTCTCCAGCTGAATGGGGTGGCCAGAGGTAGCCAAGGAGAATACAGGTCTTCGCCACACTGAACAATGTTTTAGCGAGTGATGTTCCAAGTTATTTGCTGTTACTTTTTGTTGAAATTGCAGGTTGCCTGAGCATGCAGTGATTCCTCGCTGCCAACCCCACACAAAGCCCTCGCGTCTGATCGTCTGACACCAGGGACCACGGACCTTTGCCTCAGGGACGGCCAGCATGGTGACCATCCCTCCCCCCTTGTTCCAGCTCCTCCTCCACCTCCCCAGGGGACTCCTGGCTCTGTCCCTCACTCTGGACCTTCTCCAGCCCAATGTTCACTTAAGGACAGATGAGGAGAATCCCCGGGAAACTGTCTTCACTTACTCAGGCACGGCCCTATTGTCCAGAGGCGCTCGCTCCCTGCACACCTGCCCCGGGAGGCAGGGGACACACAGGACTGGGGCCATCTGGACCCATGGCTGGGACCCAGAGCTACAGGCTAGGCCAAGAGAGAGGGTCAGGAGGAGGGGAGGTCACTGTGGGTTCAAGGCGGAGAGGGGAGCCCTCCAGAAAGCTGGCGGAGGAGGCTCAGAAGCAGACATGCTCTGAGGGGCCCTCGGTACCTGGGGTCCATGCTGGGCTGAGCTCCTCGTGCTGTCCTGTGACGGTTCCCGGTCTCAGGCCTCCTGCTTCTGGGACCGGCACAGGGTGTGACGGTGTGATCCTCACCCACATTCTCTCAGGGCCGGGAGCCTTATATATTATATCATGAAGTGACCCAAAAGCTGCTGACTCAGGGGTGCTGTGCCCCACCCCTTCCCAAACTGAGGCCAGGATGCCACCCACATCAGGGTCACAGAACAGGAACTTCTCTGCCAGTTTGGGGCCAGTTTTGGTATCGATTTCCCCACCCTGATACCAGCCCTACGTGGACGCTGTGGGCTGACATAGAGGAAAAGAAGCTCTGGCGCGACTCGGTCACTTTGGGCAGCAGTAGCTGGCAGGCAGGAGGACAGGGCACAGGTGGGAGGACAGGGGTTCACACGCTGCAGAACGGCCCCCACAGGGCCTGTGTTCCCAGAAGTCAGGCTCCAGGACAGCCGACCCTGCCTCCCCCACAGCGGCCAGCGCAGGGCGCGCCTGGTCCTGGCTCCCGGGCAGCCCCCCGAGACCTGCAGTTGGAGGAGTCTGCTCTGAGAGCAGGGTGGGGCCTTCATGCCAGGCCTGGGAAGGGAAGGGGACACATAGGCGCTGAGGCCTCCTCCTCGGTGCGTCTGTTGATTGCAAACTAGAGCGAGGATGGTTTCCACCCCCAGGACCCAGAGCAGACAACAGAGGCTCAGAGAGGTACGGAGACCTGCCAGGCCCCCCAGGGAGCAGACGGATGCAGCGACACACACCCACCTCAGAAGGGCCACCCTGTGCCCTTTCCTCCCACGTCCAGGCCCTGGGGAAGTGTGGGGAGGTTGTGTTCCTGCCCAAGCCAGCCACTGAGTCCTAGTGGCAGGTCAGCCCCGTCCTCTCCCAGGTCCTCCTGCTGCACGCAGCACAGCTGCCACTAGAGGGGCTGGCCCTGTGGGCAGCGGGGCTGCCCCTGTCCACTGACAGCCCTGTCCTAGCTTCTGTCAGACCACCCTGTCATGGCCAGCTGTCCCATGCAGGGGAACCCACCTCCTGGGGACAGTCCCCCCATGGCTGCCACACTGAGCATGGAGCTCCTTACCCCCTGGCCCCCTAGTCACTCTCTGTGGGTGGAAATCTCGGCAGTGTCCCCTGTGATCTCAAGTGGACCCCACTCCTCATGGACAGAAGGAGGGTGCTCTGCCCCTCTGCTGTGAGGGCCCCTCCTGTCCTATCTGTGGGGAGACCCAGGAGGGCTCCACCCAGGGTCATCCTCCCTGGGAGTGCCTCCACATTCCTGGCCCCTCAGCACCAGCTCTGGAGTCACCCCCAGTCACCAGGTCCTCCTTTCCCACTGCCCATGCCCAGAGCCATGACGCTGCCCCCGCCTCCCCCTCTCTATCCAGACAGGCCCCTGCTGTGCAGAGTGTGTCCGCCACTGACAAGGCCACTTCCCAGCAACTTTGCCCTGGACACGCGGGCTCAGGGAGCCCTTCTCCTCTGAGAGGGGTGGGGCTGTCAGCGTGGCAGTGTGTCTGCCCTTCTCCCTGAGGGGCTCTGTGACGCCTCTCAGACCTGAGGGAGACAGGCCCGGCAGGATGCGGAGTTGCCAGCTCGGGGTCGGGCAGAGGGGGCTGCACAGGGCCAAGGGCTCACAGGACAGGCAGGCCCGGGCACCTGGAGGTGGAGGGTGGGTGGGGCAGGGGCCACTGGGGGCTTCACCTGGGGGTGGGCTCCCCCATCTGCTGTCCTCCCCTGCCCCTGCCAGGACCGTGCAGATTGTGGATGGCTGGGCTTTGGGCCCTGCTCTGTAGCCCTTTTGTAGCTGATAATGACCTGACCCTGGATCTGGGACCCTGGATCTGGGACCTGCTGGCTGTCCACTCACACCCCTGCCCCAGGCCCCTCCTGTCTGCTCCCTAGTCCCCACGCCTGGCACCTGCTCTCTAGGGGAGTCGATCTAGAAACCTGTTCTTGGGTTACATTTCCAGACCCAAGACCACCTGCTTGGCCCGGGGCACGAGTGCCTGGGGCATGTCCAGGGACAGGCTTGCAAGGGGAGAGGAAGGCCAGAGGGAGTGTGCAGGGGCTGTGCCCGCAGGCCCATGGGAGCCGAGCTGTGTCCTTACTGTGTGCTCCCTACCCGGCCAGGGCTGTGCACAGGGCAGGTGCTCTAGGTGTTAATCGGAGGACCCTGGCGTGTGCTGGGGGCAAGGCTGGGCTGGGCCCGCAGGACAGGGGCGTAAGGAGCAGCGTGAGTGACCAGCTGCCCTCACTGACAGCCCGATCTTCAGTCTGCACAGCAACTCAATGGCCTCACCTGCAGCTCAGGTGTGCTGGGAGCGTATCTCCGACAGGTATATCGCCCGTTTCCTTACTGCTTTTACATACTGAGAGGTTAGACTCCCACCACAACTTGGCATCTGTGAACGCTCCCATGTGGTGAAAGACACGGCCTCGGACTCGTGTTCGAAGCACACTGGGCCCAGATACCGCCCAGAGTTAAGTTCTCTGTAACACGTTGTACCAGCCACGCAGTGACGCAAGGTCTCCGGAGAAGAGAGAAAAGAGGGTGGTCAGGACCCTGCCCTGGCTGCAGGTGGACGGGGGAGCCACTGTCTGGGCTTCTGGCTCCCATGTGCCTGCACAGGGTGACCCACATGTGAGGGGGTCACGATTTCGCTCCAGGCCCCCAGACACAGCAACTTTCAGAAGCGCCATAGCCTGGAACTGCAGGGTGAACTCCCAGGGACTGCTGTGTCCCCCGTAGGTGTCCCCCCATCTGCACACACGTCTCCACTTATTAGAGCCTGACCCTCCTGGTGCCACAAAGGCCCAGACATGACTGGCCTCTTCTGGTGAAGCTGCAGCCAGAGGCGGGCGGGATTCTGTGAGGGCATTGCCAGAGCCTAGGAGAGACCTCTGCACCCCACATCCGTGCAGGGCTCCAGGTGAGAGCGTGTACCTTCCCTGCGGTAACCGGGAGGAAGAAGGAAGAAAATTCTTTCCGTTCCTGGGGAGTGACAGCCCCTCCCTCCATTTCTGCCTCTCGAGCACCGGGTGCAAATGTGAGAGAATCCCGCCATCCTGCTGGAGCTCCCGCCACGCCTGTGAGAGGCCGGAGGGTTCGGAAGGGACATGGTTTACAGGCAGTGGCGCACGGCTCGGGGAGAGTGCCCTCCTCGGCAGGTGGGACTGTGCCAGGATCTGCCTTGGTCCCCTGTAGGGAAAATTCTGGACGAGGCAGGTGCCCAGCAGGAGTCCCGACTGGTCAGAGGGACAGACCAGGGCACAGGGACCCTGGGGAAGGTGCTGGTAGACGCAGTCCAGGTCACCCTGAGGCCAGAATGGATGCTCTGCACGGGTCTGCAGTCCAGCTGCTCTGCCACCACGGAGGGTGCCCTGCCCACCCTTGAGTTGGGAAGGACGACAGGCCGTGCCCAGCCAGGGTCTCAGCAGGGTCCCAGGGGCCGTGTCCAGTCCCCTCACAGAACCCTCAGGGCTCCCAGGTCTTGGGAGAAGCTCTGAGACGAGGCCCTGGGGAGACAGCTCTGCAGGATGGGGGCCGGTGTGCCTGGAACCCGCCCTAGGACACTGCTCACTGGGGGCTCTTTCACCAGGGTGAGGCCCTCTGTCTGCACCCAGAGTGGCCCCGTTGCCCAGAATGACTGCGTTGGGGATTTTTGGTCACTTGCTGCCAATAGCGGAGTCTGGGCTGTTGTCAGAGCCCAGGGAACAAAACCACAGCTGCAGATTTAATGAGCAGGTCCTTCTGCACCCTACACCACTCCCCAGGAAATGTCAAAGTCCTCTCATTTGGGGCAGAGCTGAGGTGGGCCTCTCAGTGTGTCCGGGTACCCTGCGGAGGTTTCTTTTGTCACTCTGTGTCACAGTATGTGTGTACGTGTGTCTTTGTGTCACTGTGTGGAGGGGTGTGTATGTGTATATGTGCATATGTGTGTCTGTGTGTCTGGGCCAGGGGACCAGTGCATCCTTTCTGCCCAGGAACACCTGCCTGTGGGCCCTGTTCTTAGTGACACATGTGGCTCCTGAGGTCCCACAGGACATCCTGAGGTGGCAGCCACCTACTGTCATCAAGCACATAAGCCACACATCACAGAACCAGAACCCAGCGCCCAGGGTGGGACAGACACAGCTAAGCCACAGCCCTGACACCTGCTGCCCTGGCCCTGGGGTGTGTCTCTGGCCCTGACCGCCTGCCCCTGGCTGAGCTCCCCTCCCCGCTGGGGCTGAGCTGGGCCTCCGAGGCTGCTCATGTCCCCCTGCCCCTGCCCTGGGCCCAGCCCTGGACCCGGCCTTCCCTGGGCTCCTTCCCTGCAACTGGTCTTGTCCTGGGTCTCAGCCATGCCCTCCTCCAGCTCCCTGTCAAGGGGGTGGAATCAGGGAGGGTGTGGGGACAGGATACCCCCAGTGCCCCTGACTGCACATGTGTGGTTCCTGTCCAATGTGGAAACTCTCTGCTTTCTCTGTAATTATTGTGGGGCCTGTCCCTTCCAAACTGGGCTGGTTGGCAGGATGAGACCATGTCAGTGTGGGAAGGATTTGAATTCAGGTTCTTCTCCTGTGAGCTTTAGCCACATTTTCTCATCCCAGAGGGAATTAGTGTGACTTTTGCCGCCATTGAGTGTTCACTACAAAAGAAAGACATTCACAGACTTGCCAGTGTTTATTTGAACACTTGGAATTCATGATATGTTTATAGAGAAAAAATTAGGGAATATTCTTAATTCAGTTGATCTTTGAACAACACAAGTTTGAAGTACGCTCGTCTACTTATATAGGGATTTTTTTTTTGAGACAGAGTCTCACCGGGCTAGACTGCCGTGGCATCAGCCTACCTCACAGTAACCTCAAACTCGTGTGCTCAAGCAATCCTCCTGCCTCAGCCTCCCGAGTACCTGGGACTACAGGCATGTGCCACCATGCCCAGCTAATTTTTTCTCGAGACGGGGTCTTGCTCTTGCTCAGGCTGGTCTTGAACTCCTGACCTTAGGCGATCCCCCCTCCTCAGCCTCCCAAACTGCTAGGATTACAGGTGTGAGCCACCACACCTGGCCAGGATTTT